AAATGTAGGGACAGGCATTCACCTTATCGTTGCCTAGAAAATACACAAAGGGTTGAAAATTTATCAAAGAACAAACCTCTGGTAGGCAGCGAGCGATCGCGTGGAATCTTGGGACTTGTGCTGATGTGGTAAGACCCAGGAGGGGAGGGAGGAAAGGATTACAGCTGTGAAACCCCTAAAATACCCAACGTGTAATAATTGTACCAACAAAATATAGTGTCCGGTGAATCGGCCTTATAAAGAAAAAACCACAATAATATCTTGTTAGTTCCTACTTTTATCTTTGCTTTGACTCACATACCCACACCGCCACGGGGGCCCCGCCTCCTACCCGACCCGTCAGGTTGCAGTCCTTGGAAGCCTTAATGATTTCATCAGGATGTCTTCTTCACAACTTGACCGGCCTGTTGTGTCTACGGACTGGCTGAATAAAGAACTCAAAAACACCAAAGGTGGCTTGGCAGTCCTAGACACCACATGGTTCAGTGATAAGGATGCTTGCAGTGGTTTCTCAAAGTAAGGCATCTTAAGTTTATTGCTTTGCTTGATCGATATAAAGATGTTTGGAAACTTTCGATTTCCAGCGATCGATTTAGGTTTGACGGCATGCATGAAGGTGCAAGGTCTTTATGAGCTTAAATAAATCAGTCCTTCAGATAAATAAGATCTCACAGGTAAGCTGTTACTACTGCTGCTATTGCGCTACAAACTGGACCTCTAGAGAAGCGAGGAACCCTTTTTTGTGCATTATGGGGTAAACAGTTTTTATGATATTCATGAAAAATCTTATAATGTAAGCGTACATCAATCATTGCACAATAAGTTTTGATTAAAAAAGCAACAATAACAACAAAACAAGAAATCGAAAAATAAACAAACAAACAACAACATTCCCCACATGCCACAACAACAAAAAACCTGCAGGGGCTTAATATTATAAAGTGGAAATGTTAAATCCGTTTGAAGTTAGATCAGGGCAAGAAATGATAAATATGAGCAAAGCTGCCTTGTGTCCATGCTTCTTGTTCAGTTACTTCAAGAGTGGGAACTATCTGAGGGGGAGGCTGGGAAAAAAAACATTTACCATAGAGAATTGGAATAATTAATGATAATGCATAGCCATGATTTCTTTCAGGAAACATATCATCCGTGCTTCATATATGGACATGTTCTTTGGAGTGGAGAATACTCCCTTATATCCTAGGAATATTCCAGATGTCTCAACATTTCAAATGAATGCCAGAGGCAGTGCAGTGAATAACAGAGACCATGTTGTCATTTATGAAAACACAGGAAGGTTTGGATACTTCATGGGTGCAAGAGCTTGGTGGATGTTCAAGGTCTGTTCATAATAACTTGGATATCGTCACTCTAATCACCATCTTTCCCTTCTGAGTCACTAAGCTGCATATAGACCTGGGGTTGGGGTGGTTTTTGCACTCTAGTCTTGAATTGGGTATGTTTTTAAGACACTACTTTGACTACTTTTTCATCAAATTTATCGATAAACAAATTAAAGCCCTTCACAAATTATGTTTACAGCAATTTAACATTGGTCTGAACAAGGAAACTAATTATGAGGCAGGTCTGAAACAGGGTTTTGATTTAAGGTTCAGGTCATAAATGGGATATCAAATTTTTGGTCAGGTCATAAATAGGGTAAGGAAAATTGCAGATTTTGGTCATAAATGGGGTAAGGGTTTTGGGAAGCAGGCCGCACACCTCCACCCGATTTTTCTGGGAGTACCCACCCTGGACATGTAGGGCATGAACAAACTAAGGTCTTCTAGTCTGGCCTATTCTTGGCTTCTGTCACTACATGCACCGTACTCCAATTTTAATCTCTTTGATAAGTCAAAAATTTTGTTGACTCTGGCCTGCTTTTTTTCTAATTTCCCTCATTTTCACAGCTGTTTGGTCATGAAAATGTTTCAGTGCTGGATGGAGGACTGGAGAGGTGGACTGCTGATGGCTATGAAACAACAGATATGATGATCAAAAAACGGGTGTGTGCTGCATTCAGACTACGATGCAATGTTCCTCTTTCTGGTTCTCTTATGTGCTATCAAGTGCTGTTTCACTTCTCAAAAGGTTTCACTTTCTTTGAAGACTTTAGTAAGTCCTCTGACTCATACTTTTTGGTTTCTGTTGTACTTCTTTGTTTAGCCGGATGGGGTAGCTTGTCTTTTTGTAATGCTCTTACTTTATGTGGACTTGAGACTGGCAAGATGGGACCAAAAGAATCACCTCTAAGGAGTTAGTTGCTGCATTTATCATCATAATGGCCAAGTTATTTGTTTTTACATTACAGGAAGGAGATTTTACAGCAAAGTTCAACCCAAAATGGATCAAAAAGTTTGATGAAATGCAAGAGAATCTTGCATCACGTAAAGCACAAGTTTGCGACAGCCGTCCTCATGCTACTTTTAACCATTCACCAGATGGTACTGTGGAAAAATTATATAAACTTTCCAGCTGTTGAAAGAGTATCAGAATTAATTTCTGAAGTTTCTGATATTAATCAGTTATACAAAAATTTGTTTTCTCAGATCCAAAGTCTGGCCACTACCCAGGTGCAGTAAACATTCCATTTCCAAGCCTGTTTAACCCAGACACCAGGACTCTGAAGACTGTTGACGAGCTCAAGAAAGGTAGGTTGTTCTCAATACAAGGAGCCCACAGCAGAAAATTGACGAAACTTAACTACACAGTCTGTGGAACCCCTTCTCATGGTAACTTACCCCATTAAATGTGGCCACCTCGTTTTTACAGCCACTTTATTTTGGCCCAAACAAAAGCTCAGTCAGTCATTTTCTTATATAAAGAAACCCTTTAATACAACCACCCTGTTAATAAGGCCAGATCTTTGTGGCCCATTGCTGGCCAGATCAACGGGTTTCCACTTTACAGTGAAATCCTGATCTCAAACCCCTGGATTTTTCGAACCTTCCAATAGCTTGAACCAAAAGTAATTTCCCTACCTTCAGTCAAATACTGTATTTTTACCCCTTGATTTTTTCAACTGCCTGATTTTTCAAACAAATTTTCATTTCCCTTGGAGTTTGAAATATTGTGATTCCACCATAAATTATGTTAATAAAAGTAGATTACTGTTAAGTATCAGTTTCAGTAACTCTTTCATTCATTTTATTGTCCCAACAGTTTATTGTGATGCTGGAATTGATCTCAGTAAACCAGTAATTGGCATGTGTAATGGAGGAATGTCATCTTGCACTTTGGTACTCACGGCTCATCTGTGTGGATGTCCTGATGTGGCCCTGTATCATGTAAGACTCACTGACAACGAACGACTGATCAATGACCATTGATTGAATATTAACTATCAAGAGGAAATGATCTGACAAAAATAGTGTCATCTGTATGATAGGCAAAAAATGAGTAAATCCTGGAGCATAATAAAATGATCCTCTGTTGTAACCAATGGGTTCACGACATATTGAAAATTTCTCAAAAATTGTATTTATTTTTTTCAGTAGAGGATGTTTGGTATTTGATGTTGTATCAATTGATTTATATAAAAATTTAAACTGCAAAAACCGAAAAAGTGGACTTAAAAATTCTAATTTGTTCACAAGTCATCAATCTTTCCAGATACAATGCTGAAAACTTTTGTCTCAAAAAATTATGATGAAATCTCCCAATCACTGCTGTAAACAATGTATTAATACAGTAGAGAGAATTTACCAGTTGACTGCATTAAAGGGTACATAGAAAGAGGACTAACTTGGAAAAAGCAAAACATATTGTCATATTTTCCAATTTTTTTTATTTACAGGGAGGTTTCAGAGAGTGGAAAGAAAGAGCTGACTCAAGCCAAATAGAATGATATGCCAGTGTTCAGCTAGTGAAACAATCCCTATGTTGTGTACTAAAGGATGGGACTGGTAACTAGCTCTCAGTTAAGAGGATTGGGACTACTGACCACGGCAATGCTGGCTTAGTAGCACTCAAATGGCTGACAAAGGGGGGACAGTAACCATGACAACCAAACACATGTATTTTTCACCACTGCACTTCGACGTTCTTTCAATTGGGAGAATTTAGTGACCTGAATCGAAGTTATCAATTAAGGTGCACAAGGTCCACAACATGATATTTCACCACCATACACTGATATTTTTTTTTTAAAAAAACTGCAAGTTCTGGCGACCTGGATGTAGTAGTTACTAAAAGGCACTCTAAGGCATAGTAGGAATGTGACAAGCTCATGTTGAATCCAGTTTCAGTGTATAGCTTGCCTCAATATAATGTTTGTATGTAACACAGCAGTATCTGGTAAATAAGTTATTAAAAGGAAACAAACCAGTGAGAAAATTATGTTGTTTAATGAGTCTCCAAGATTTCAGTAAATATAATTATACTTATTATTAAATTTTTTTTACAGTTTTGTTAGAATTTCTTAATTTATTAGTACGTAGTTATTATAAAAATTTTTCAACTATATGAGTGTTGGTATTTACTTAAACCTTAAACCACAAAATGACAGCTTCAGATCCACTACAACATAAAAGTAGTTCTGTATGTTGCCTAGCATACAAGTCATAAGTGATGTGCAGCATTTCATAAAATGTATGGAAAATAAAGCAGATAATTGGAGCTTTAAGGTTTTTGCAAATTTGTCAATGTTTGTGAGTGAACTGTGACCACCTCCATCAAGTGGTAGATAAATACCTATTGTGACTGCCCCAATCAAGTTGTACAACATGTACTCTGACCACCCTCATAAAGTGGTACCACATCTACTGTGTCCACACCCTGAAGTGGTACCGTTGGAAGACTAACTGCCCAGCAGTCTTAATTCACATGCAACCATGGCATGTCAAAATAGTTCTTCCTACAATGTGTATCGAAGCTTACATGTGCAAGTTACAACTTCTTGATAACGTAAAACTAAAGATTCAGAGGGAAGTTAAAAGTAATTTTTTTGGTTATAAAATTATTTTCTTTTTTCTTTGTTTTCTTTTATTACATTTCAATCTGAGGTATAAATAAAACACTGAAGTGTAGATAATGATTTGAAGTATGTGGCTTGTGTCATTTCTTTGATTTCTCATCAAGTTCCAAAACATAACAATAAAATCATTGCATATTCACAGGCAACAATAATTTATAATAGTATAGTCCTCAGAAGAGGATACGATATAAAATGCTCTATAAACAAAGCCACATAAATATGTCTAGTCTGAGTGGAAATAAAAGTTATTGTCCACTCTCTACAAAACAGATGTCATTGAAGTAAATATCATATGACAAGAACTATAATCTGTGCAATAAACAAGCCCTTACAACATTTTTTTGTTGAGCATTTTTTTGACTTGCAAACTTGCAAACCACCTTTTGTAGTTTTTCTTTCAGAGCATTAAATAAGCCCATATGGGGTTTAATTTATCTTTGGATTTTTTTGGTACTCTGAGAACTCTCTATTTACCTAATTTTTTTTTTTCACTGGGCAATAGTGCCTTTAATTATTCTTAGGTTTTAACATAACTGTGATGCCGAGATGTCTTATGGTTTTTGTTTAGCTATGTAACACTGCATTTGTTAAGTCTATCTTGAGAGGTTCAACTGCTTGAAGAGCTTGTGCAACCAACTCCTACTTCTCAACAAATAGTTGCAGATCAGTATCATGCCAGTCTCTAATTTGCCACTACAAACTTCTTCAGGTTTATGTGATCTTGAGCAATGGCGCTGGTGAATGTCGTGCAAACTGTAGTACAGTGGAAACAGATTCCACGTCAGTTGGCAAGTTCTACAAAAGAAAAAGACAACGCTATTAATAGCTATACTATATCTTAGATTTTGCTCTTCATAGCATTTCTCGAAGAGATAGATTTAGAATGACAATTATTACAATGAGCATTTAGTACCTTGACAAGAACGCAATGCAGCGGCTCCCTTAATACCCTGTAATGTTTTGTCATCTCGCACAGCTTACGGCTGCTGTTGACCTAGAAGAAGAGAGATGAAGTAATTAGTTTAAACACTTGGATAATAAAACATGTTTCAATAATAAATTATAATTAATCATGCAAATACTGCTGGTAGTGGTACTAACCTTAATAACAGGAATTGCACATTCCCAGCAATATGCCTCAATCAGCCGGCAGTGAACCTGAATTCCAGGATCTGCACTGGGATTTTCTACTAAGAGACACAGTCCTATGGTATCCAAGTCCCTATAACAAATAAATAGAATGACATTAGAAACTGGTTCCTGGCTACAATACATGTAGGACAATTTCATGCCTTGTAGGTTCTGTATGGATAATCAAATAGTGACAAGTGACATTAGGAACAAACTTCACATGCGTTTCGTCAAAATTCTAATAATTTATTGGGCTCGGGAAATTAATAGGATTTATGACAAAATGAAAGTGAAATTATTTCTTAACTTCATGATCATACTATTCGATAACGTTTTAATAAAATGGGTGACAACTTACACTTACAATCCTGGGTTTTTACTTGTTTATTGTGTCGAGAAATTTTGCGTCAAACATTGCCATGGCAATTTTGTAATTTCACATGTGAAATTACTGATAAATGAACACTGAAATTTCATGCCAAAATTAAGGAGTAATTTCTCACCCATGATATCAAAAAGTTTAACTCCAGGCCTTAACCCAAAGACATATATTAAACAAAGTAAAAGGGCAAAAAAAGGAAATAAATTGGACAAAGTCAATCAAATGAGACACTTACACTGCAAGTTCATTAGCAGCATCATGTACGCCACACACTAAATGACCATTAACTTGAGCTTGATGTAGGACTTGTTGTAATGCTCTACGCACTTTGTGTCTATGCACCATATCACTGTAAATAATAAAAAAACAGTCATAAATTAATAATTCACGGGACCTGATGAAACCATCAGCAAAGTTTAGACAGCAAACCAAGTAATTAAAAATTAATTCGCATCACGCGCTTTGAACATACGACTGAACGTGAGCAAAACAAGGAAATCCAACGATCAACTATTTTGCAAATATACGGTTCAGTAGATATTTAACTAAAAAATGATAATACGCAAGTTTAAAGCCCAAAAATTAGATGATGATTTTTTAACGATTCTAACACTGTCTCGTGACCTCGACGTTACGTGAGGCAAAGCGAAAATCACTTAGTTTACGGTACACGTCATCTTGCTGTCTGTTGCAGTTTGCAGAATTACTTCGTTTTTGGTTTTCAACAAAGAAAAATATAAACTTTCAATGACAGCAGCCTATTCCACTTAAAAATTGTTGTTTCCAAACTCTAACTACAGTCAACCTTACCGGGAGTTACGCTTTGAGAAAACGAACGTTCGAGTTGCGTTCGAAATTGTTATTGGAGACCAAATAGTGTAAGGGTGCATTTAAAATAGAACATATTTTACAAGAAACAGGACATGAATCAAATTTGGAAATATTAAGATATAACCGACAAAGTAGAAACACCTGGGACAGCCCTTTTTCACAGAATCGTTCCACTTTGTACGCGTACAACGGCTGCACAAGATTCCCCGAGAGGTGTGTGTCAGTCACGAGTTATTGAACACGCGAAGTACAATACGTATTTGACAATTCTTTCTAAACTTGCGAATACAACGCATTTTCCGGCCGAATTTCGACAAACGTAAAGTTAAATTAGCAGATCTTTGCTGGCAGAACTTATCTTGTGGGTAGAAATCAAGCACGTTATAGTTTCTGTGAATATCAGAATTCCCGGGAAAATGTTGCCGGCCTCCAGTGGGAATTACGTCACCCTAGCGACTTTTAAACAAGTTTCCGAAGAACTTACTTCATTTTCTCTTCACAAAATTCGTCTGTTTCGTTCTCAGTGGTTTCTTGTGTCATTCTTGTCCCCAGGTAGTCCAAATAAGTGATAAAATCCTCCAAAAACTCCCGCAATAACTAGCAGAAGTTGATACAATCACTTCGCTGGAAAGTCCGCGTGAAACAGTCGATTCGTTTTGCTGACTGGCGACTTTATAGGAACAAGTCACGTGTTTGACAACCCGGATACATCAAAACACTTACTTACCATGGGAGGGTAGATATCGCTTAGTAACAATCGCCAATATTTGAAGACAACAAGCAGCTAGGACACGTTCAGTTTCATTTGAAGAAAGTTTAAGCAATCTATAAATATGAAATCACTCAAACTTGAGCGGAAAAGAATATATTTATTTCCCGCCAGTGGCAAACAAAGCAACCGCCTTACCCCTTCCTAGAAAGAACACTTTCGCTGAAGACCAAAAAGCGGAAAATTTACATAAGGACCGGAAAACAACTTGCGTCAAAGAGCGGTTAAAGTAAACAATATGATAAATATTTTAGGGCAAGCCCACTCTGGCTTCAACAAATCGATTTTTAGGGATTTTTAATAAGACCTTTGAGGGAAAATATGCTCGGAAAACTAACAGTTTCAAAGGGAAAATTGCAGTAAAAAGAAAATGAAAAAACCCCTCAAATGTCATAGCTTTCTTTGAATCTGCAACTGTTGAACCGAAAGAATGTTTCAATTCAACCGCCCTAACGTACTCGGAAGTAAAATTAAATTTTATGACGGTTTTAAAAACTTCCTCAAGTTGTTATGCCTATTCCAGGTGATTGATAAAACTTATTGAAAGGCGCTTGATCTTCCTCCCCTGCTACGGATAACAACAATACAGGGCCCCTGAAAAAGAACATGAAGTTTAACGGATAGCGACTGGCGAAAACGGAAGAAAAACTGATGTAGAAATATTGAAGTCCAAAAATACTTACAGCATGAGCAAAAATAGGATTGTCGAAAATAATCTCCAACTCTTTTCAGTAACCAAGGAGTAAATACTGCAAGCTCTAAATAGTTTTCTATAAATATCAATTGAGCGATAATAAACCTCTCGTTTTCCTAAGAACTTTACGCTCGAATTTTTTACCAAGTAATTACTGCGAAAAGAACCGTAATTTATATAATTGTTTGATGGTATAAATAATGCAGTGTAATAAATAATGCATTTACGTTAAATCAAATAGGGAAGTTAATTCGCACTTATTTGTATGTGAAATGCATGTAATACTAGGACAAAATGTATCTTCCGCAGTTAAGCTTCTTTCAGCATTCCATTCAGAACGTATTTATAGAATATCCAGTTTTTTCTTGAATAAGTGGAACAGAAAAGCTTATTGTTCGCTGAAGTTAATTCTTTGGAATGTCATCTTCAATTTAATGCGTGACAGCAGAGACGATTTTGTTTTTCATAGCAGTGAGTTTTTTTAGAGGCTTCAACACAGGCTGGTTGCCTGGCAACCTAGCTTCGACTGCTTTCCTTGCTAATTGTGTCACTGTCTGTAGTATGAGTCGAAAACTTAAACATATTAAAGGAAGCTTGCAACACGTATCACACCCACACTTGAGTATTACTGCTTTGTTTGCGAAACGAAATGAAACGAAGTAAACTTGAAAGAAATGAAACGAAAAGGAATGTGGGTGGAGATCTGAAGCTTTTTGGTTCTAAAGAAGACTTGTATGTGGGACGGACCCGGAAGAATCTCAAACATTTTTACCTCCGTGATAATACTCCATTTCTTCAGTAAAATAAATCTTATCTGGAGTGATATATTAACAACTTCTCGCTCCAAAAATTATCAGAGGTTAATTTTCAATGTATGGTCTTAAGGGACCAAGTCTTCCAGTGTTTTTTCCGGTGCAAGTTTTTTTTCTTTACCATTCCTTTACACCACTGATATACGTATGTTCGCTTTTTACCCCCAAACTGCTCTGAGCTGTTTCATTCAGCTTTTTGTCCACTTTCAGTAAAATGCAATTTTCTTTTGTCACCTATCTCTTCATTTCTTATGTATTCACTTCTTTCAATGTTCCGTTTTCTCTTAGATTAATGTGTCTTCCCATTCTTCATTACAGGTCATATTGTTATCGAAAAAACTGAATCAGTTATGGTACATGCTCTATTTTTAACCTGGTAGTTCCCAATTTTCCCAGTGTGGGTTTAACGCACGATTTTTCCTCCCATAGAGACACGGAAGAAATCGCATATTATTGCAGTGTATATATATTCATACCTTTACATATTCTGTTCCTGTGACGTCGCCTTTGAACTATTATTCACGGATTCACAGAGTATAAAGACTTAAATGCATTTGATAAACTCAGCCTTTTGAAATTTCAACGGCCGCCAGACATATCGCGCGTCGCTTCATTTTAAAATAAAAACACGCTTTTCAAAAAAAGCTTCAGCAACTAAAAGCGGGTGGTTTTCAAATCCTTTTAAACTGAGTTAAAATGCGAGTCTAAAACTTAAAGGAAGCGCGTGGAAACACGTACAATACTTTTGATTCTAGGCTTTGTTAACCCACTGAAACGAAACGGAACCCTTGTACCGAGTAAACATCTCTACAGTTGGTACGGAAGTAAACGGAATAATGATTTTGCATGCAAAAACACGTTTCTAATGAGAAAACACGTGTAGACGGATTCCCAAAACTATTTTGAATGTCCATCCGCAGCGAATGGCGTGAAAGAGAGTTGAATCTCAGACATTTCTTGGGCAGGAGACGATATGGTTATTACTGACCAAGCATGAAGTCCAAACGTACAAATATTGACCGAATAAAGCGTGGTCGGTTCACTTAAAACAAAAAATAAACGGTTAAAATTCCCGCATCTGGGCCGAACACGGTTCGTCGAAAAAAAGTTTAATTATTTTTCTAACATAGAAAAACGCTGCTAAAAATGTCTAGCGTGCACAATACACGACTGCTGTCAAGAACCGAAATACACGATCCAGTTTATTCAGTTCCTCGTAATTTAAAACTTTTAAGCTTCAGTTTTTAATTCCACAAAGTAAATTGCAGTAATGTCGATAGAGCACCACCCTAATTAACTTAGTGTTACCTACGTGATATCCTCTGTAAATATTGTTTGTTATTATTATTATCGAAACTTCACCCAGAACAGAAAAAGGCACGTCATAGTGTTTCTAAAGTGAAGTATTTTCTAATATTCGGAATGAGATTTTTTTTCAAACTATAGTAAACTTCAAATAATGGTTTAGTTCGGTTGAAAAGAAATTACCAGGAGGGTTGTTTTACGCAAAAGGAGCAAGCAGACAAGCCTGCAACATTATCGTTCTTTAGGATCCTTCTAAAAATACACTTTTTTAGAACAAAAATAACTTAATTTATTGTGAGAAAACATAGAGAAGTTTTCTTCAGCATTTTTTTCTCAACCCACTCAAGGTTTACTGTCTTTGTGAGTCGTCACTGTATCCTTTTGAAAATCCAGTTTTTTGGAACAAATATTACTTCGTTTAATTTCATTCGTTGTGAGAAAACATACAGAATTTTCTTCAGCGTTTTTATCTCAACCGACTCAAAGTATTCTTGGGCTTGTCTAGTTTCTTTCTATTTTCGTTTTTGCTTCTTTTTGTCTTTATTCCTTTCATATGTTTCCTGTCTTTGTGAGTCTTCACTGTCACCTTCATCACTACTTTTCGCGTAAGGTTTCTCTCTACTCTTCTTTTCCCTTCGCGTTTTTGTCCTTTCACTTCGTTCTGTTGAGCTATCCCGTTTTCTTCTGTCTTTTTTTGTCCTTATCTCTGAATTTTCTTCTTTCGCGGTGAATTTGCTCTTCGTTTTACGACATTTTTGTCGTGTATCCGTTAAACTTCGTTCGTTGCTACTGCTTTTGCTAATCCTCTTTCGTTTTCTTTTATATTCATAAGTGTCTTCACTTTCTTCACTGGATCTCTGGAAGTCGGATTCACTGNATATTAAGATATAACCGACAAAGTAGAAACACCTGGGACAGCCCTTTTTCACAGAATCGTTCCACTTTGTACGCGTACAACGGCTGCACAAGATTCCCCGAGAGGTGTGTGTCAGTCACGAGTTATTGAACACGCGAAGTACAATACGTATTTGACAATTCTTTCTAAACTTGCGAATACAACGCATTTTCCGGCCGAATTTCGACAAACGTAAAGTTAAATTAGCAGATCTTTGCTGGCAGAACTTATCTTGTGGGTAGAAATCAAGCACGTTATAGTTTCTGTGAATATCAGAATTCCCGGGAAAATGTTGCCGGCCTCCAGTGGGAATTACGTCACCCTAGCGACTTTTAAACAAGTTTCCGAAGAACTTACTTCATTTTCTCTTCACAAAATTCGTCTGTTTCGTTCTCAGTGGTTTCTTGTGTCATTCTTGTCCCCAGGTAGTCCAAATAAGTGATAAAATCCTCCAAAAACTCCCGCAATAACTAGCAGAAGTTGATACAATCACTTCGCTGGAAAGTCCGCGTGAAACAGTCGATTCGTTTTGCTGACTGGCGACTTTATAGGAACAAGTCACGTGTTTGACAACCCGGATACATCAAAACACTTACTTACCATGGGAGGGTAGATATCGCTTAGTAACAATCGCCAATATTTGAAGACAACAAGCAGCTAGGACACGTTCAGTTTCATTTGAAGAAAGTTTAAGCAATCTATAAATATGAAATCACTCAAACTTGAGCGGAAAAGAATATATTTATTTCCCGCCAGTGGCAAACAAAGCAACCGCCTTACCCCTTCCTAGAAAGAACACTTTCGCTGAAGACCAAAAAGCGGAAAATTTACATAAGGACCGGAAAACAACTTGCGTCAAAGAGCGGTTAAAGTAAACAATATGATAAATATTTTAGGGCAAGCCCACTCTGGCTTCAACAAATCGATTTTTAGGGATTTTTAATAAGACCTTTGAGGGAAAATATGCTCGGAAAACTAACAGTTTCAAAGGGAAAATTGCAGTAAAAAGAAAATGAAAAAACCCCTCAAATGTCATAGCTTTCTTTGAATCTGCAACTGTTGAACCGAAAGAATGTTTCAATTCAACCGCCCTAACGTACTCGGAAGTAAAATTAAATTTTATGACGGTTTTAAAAACTTCCTCAAGTTGTTATGCCTATTCCAGGTGATTGATAAAACTTATTGAAAGGCGCTTGATCTTCCTCCCCTGCTACGGATAACAACAATACAGGGCCCCTGAAAAAGAACATGAAGTTTAACGGATAGCGACTGGCGAAAACGGAAGAAAAACTGATGTAGAAATATTGAAGTCCAAAAATACTTACAGCATGAGCAAAAATAGGATTGTCGAAAATAATCTCCAACTCTTTTCAGTAACCAAGGAGTAAATACTGCACGCTCTAAATAGTTTTCTATAAATATCAATTGAGCGATAATAAACCTCTCATTTTCCTAAGAATTTTGCGCTCGAATTTTTTACCAAGTAATTACTGCGAAAAGAACCGTAATTTATATAATTGTTTGATGGTATAAATAATGCAGTGTAATAAATAATGCATTTACGTTAAATCAAATAGGGAAGTTAATTCGCACTTATTTGTATGTGAAATGCATGTAATACTAGGACAAAATGTATCTTCCGCAGTTAAGCTTCTTTCAGCATTCCATTCAGAACGTATTTATAGAATATCCAGTTTTTTCTTGAATAAGTGGAACAGAAAAGCTTATTGTTCGCTGAAGTTAATTCTTTGGAATGTCATCTTCAATTTAATGCGTGACAGCAGAGACGATTTTGTTTTTCATAGCAGTGAGTTTTTTTAGAGGCTTCAACACAGGCTGGTTGCCTGGCAACCTAGCTTCGACTGCTTTCCTTGCTAATTGTGTCACTGTCTGTAGTATGAGTCGAAAACTTAAACATATTAAAGGAAGCTTGCAACACGTATCACACCCACACTTGAGTATTACTGCTTTGTTTGCGAAACGAAATGAAACGAAGTAAACTTGAAAGAAATGAAACGAAAAGGAATGTGGGTGGAGATCTGAAGCTTTTTGGTTCTAAAGAAGACTTGTATGTGGGACGGACCCGGAAGAATCTCAAACATTTTTACCTCCGTGATAATACTCCATTTCTTCAGTAAAATAAATCTTATCTGGAGTGATATATTAACAACTTCTCGCTCCAAAAATTATCAGAGGTTAATTTTCAATGTATGGTCTTAAGGGACCAAGTCTTCCAGTGTTTTTTCCGGTGCAAGTTTTTTTTCTTTACCATTCCTTTACACCACTGATATACGTATGTTCGCTTTTTACCCCCAAACTGCTCTGAGCTGTTTCATTCAGCTTTTTGTCCACTTTCAGTAAAATGCAATTTTCTTTTGTCACCTATCTCTTCATTTCTTATGTATTCACTTCTTTCAATGTTCCGTTTTCTCTTAGATTAATGTGTCTTCCCATTCTTCATTACAGGTCATATTGTTATCGAAAAAACTGAATCAGTTATGGTACATGCTCTATTTTTAACCTGGTAGTTCCCAATTTTCCCAGTGTGGGTTTAACGCACGATTTTTCCTCCCATAGAGACACGGAAGAAATCGCATATTATTGCAGTGTATATATATTCATACCTTTACATATTCTGTTCCTGTGACGTCGCCTTTGAACTATTATTCACGGATTCACAGAGTATAAAGACTTAAATGCATTTGATAAACTCAGCCTTTTGAAATTTCAACGGCCGCCAGACATATCGCGCGTCGCTTCATTTTAAAATAAAAACACGCTTTTCAAAAAAAGCTTCAGCAACTAAAAGCGGGTGGTTTTCAAATCCTTTTAAACTGAGTTAAAATGCGAGTCTAAAACTTAAAGGAAGCGCGTGGAAACACGTACAATACTTTTGATTCTAGGCTTTGTTAACCCACTGAAACGAAACGGAACCCTTGTACCGAGTAAACATCTCTACAGTTGGTACGGAAGTAAACGGAATAATGATTTTGCATGCAAAAACACGTTTCTAATGAGAAAACACGTGTAGACGGATTCCCAAAACTATTTTGAATGTCCATCCGCAGCGAATGGCGTGAAAGAGAGTTGAATCTCAGACATTTCTTGGGCAGGAGACGATATGGTTATTACTGACCAAGCATGAAGTCCAAACGTACAAATATTGACCGAATAAAGCGTGGTCGGTTCACTTAAAACAAAAAATAAACGGTTAAAATTCCCGCATCTGGGCCGAACACGGTTCGTCGAAAAAAAGTTTAATTATTTTTCTAACATAGAAAAACGCTGCTAAAAATGTCTAGCGTGCACAATACACGACTGCTGTCAAGAACCGAAATACACGATCCAGTTTATTCAGTTCCTCGTAATTTAAAACTTTTAAGCTTCAGTTTTTAATTCCACAAAGTAAATTGCAGTAATGTCGATAGAGCACCACCCTAATTAACTTAGTGTTACCTACGTGATATCCTCTGTAAATATTGTTTGTTATTATTATTATCGAAACTACACCCAGAACAGAAAAAGGCACGTCATAGTGTTTCTAAAGTGAAGTATTTTCTAATATTCGGAATGAGATTTTTTTTCAAACTATAGTAAACTTCAAATAATGGTTTAGTTCGGTTGAAAAGAAATTACCAGGACGGTTGTTTTACGCAAAAGGAGCAAGCAGACAAGCCTGCAACATTATCGTTCTTTAGGATCCTTCTAAAAATACACTTTTTTAGAACAAAAATAACTTAATTTATTTCTTCAGCATTTTTTCTCTCAACCCACTCAAGGTTTACTGTCTTTGTGAGTCGTCACTGTATCCTTTTGAAAATCCAGTTTTTTGGAACAAATATTACTTCGTTTAATTTCATTCGTTGTGAGAAAACATACAGAATTTTCTTCAGCGTTTTTATCTCAACCGACTCAAAGTATTCTTGGGCTTGTCTAGTTTCTTTCTATTTTCGTTTTTGCTTCTTTTTGTCTTTATTCCTTTCATATGTTTCCTGTCTTTGTGAGTCTTCACTGTCACCTTCATCACTACTTTTCGCGTAAGGTTTCTCTCTACTCTTCTTTTCCCTTCGCGTTTTTGTCCTTTCACTTCGTTCTGTTGAGCTATCCCGTTTTCTTCTGTCTTTTTTTGTCCTTATCTCTGAATTTTCTTCTTTCGCGGTGAATTTGCTCTTCGTTTTACGACATTTTTGTCGTGTATCCGTTAAACTTCGTTCGTTGCTACTGCTTTTGCTAATCCTCTTTCGTTTTCTTTTATATTCATAAGTGTCTTCACTTTCTTCACTGGATCTCTGGAAGTCGGATTCACTGGCCTTTTTTTCCCTCCTTCTTTTCCTGCCTTTTCTACTCTTTGAATCAGTTCTATAATAAAGACAAGTGGTTTTTTTTCCGTTATCATCACATGTAATTTTCTATTGATGACATCAAAGTTTTAGAGCAATGTTCAGTGCTTGGTTTACAGTCAAGAACTAGAACTCACCCACCCCACCCTATTGTCACTCGTCCATTTTCCCTGCGCTGAATTGACGAATGAATGAATGACTGAATGAATGAATGAGTAACTAAATGAATGAATGAATGAATGAATGAATCATTATTTAGCATTATTGTGTTACTTGGGGATACTGCAAATAATTAAACAAATATTACAAATAGAACATAAACTATTAAGAATCCCAAGTGGTGGGAGGCTGACCAGTTGACTGTTTACACAACACAGTGGAGAAGTTGAACTCGGGGCTACCGAGAACAAATCCAAATGGCAACTGGAGGGAGGATTTAAACCAGGGACCTCCAGATTTCAAATCCAGCACCCTAAACCACTTGACCATGCCGCCTCCATAATGAATGGAGGAATGGAGGAGCGGAGAAGCGGAGGAGTGGAGGAGCAAAGGAGTGGAGGAGTGGAGGAGTGGAGGAGTGGAAGAGTGGAAGAGTGGAAGAATGGAGGAATCAAGGAATCAAAGAATCAAGAAATCAAGAAATCAAAGAATCAAGGACTGTCAGTTTAGCAAGCAACAATCACAATATCTGTAACCACCCAGAACTGACAAGTAGAAAACTGACATCTTGTAGAAAGATGACCAGCATAGCAACATTATGCAAATATCTTTAAAAGAGGCTGAGCCAAGGATTATTTGAACAAAGTCAAATCACCACCATACCGTTTTTCTTTTTTCGTTTTTTTCTTCTTTGATTTCTGAATTTTCTCTTGGCTAGTTTTGTTCTCAAACTCCTCTGGATATAATTCTCTGTATCCACTGTGTCCCCATCTGAGTATAAATTGTAAAATGCAAAGAATTAAGCGTGTACCACATTGACTGAGCTTAAAGGTAGGCTGTCAGTGTAACATGCATAGGCAACATCTTTCGACATGCCATCTCTTAACTATGTAATCTGGCCTACATGAAAAATGTAAGCACTGCTGACTTCTTTATGGACTCACTCAACTTTTAGTCATGAAAGATGGATTTATATGACATCAAAATAGGCTAGGAGTATCAAGAAGTCATTCTGTGAGAGATAAGCGAACTGTTTTGAATGTTTACATCTTTTGAATATTAACTTCAAGTGGTAGCGCCCCGATTCTACCAGAAGTCACTATTAAGAGCCAATCAACTACAATAAAATCCTTTGAATTATCCCATAAATCAGGAAACATGCAAAGTCCTCAATCTTCTTCATTCATTTGAGGTCAGTTATTATCATTAATTTGTCATTTGTTCTGCTAATAACTGGAAAAATTGCCAGTTTCACAGTTAAATGGTCTTTCAGCCGTTTACATAGCATGTCGAAGATGTCTCCCATGCATGTAACACTGAAAGCGGGTGTAAGGGGCAACATGTTGTTCAGAAGACATCCATATGACACAACCCTCCCATCAGCATAGGAGAGTTTTTGCTCCGACCTCCTCCCCCATTTGGACGTCATCCTCAAATATCACCTTTTGATAATTTTCTTGAGGTGGATATAGGGATTTCATGGACCTGTGCAATCACCATGATAGTGGTGAAGGTGAGGAAGGATTTCTACATTTGTCGCAATCTCAGTGTAAAAAGATATTTCAACCAGTATAGACAAACCTTCCAGAATCATTTGCTTCATAATTAAATAGTTGTTGTGTCCAGAAACTACTTTTGGGTTGCTGATCACCATCTTCATTGTCACATCTCATACGTCCTACAAACCTTATAAACAGAAATAGAAACATGGTAAAGTTTGGATTTTAGCTAAGTAGCCCATTAGTCTAGATGGCCAACTGACAGCACTGCCTGGCAAGCCCTCTTGTGAAACCCACAGGAAAGCAGACAGAGAGGGAGACCATGTAATAGCTGGAGAAGGGATACAGAATTCACTATCCAGTCAAAGGGCTTGTCCTGAACTCAGACAGAGTGCCTGGCCAGGGACAGAGGGGGTTGGAGGAGTTTTGTCAGTGGCCTATGCTCTGAAATGGAGTAGACAGCCTTCAGATCAGATCAGCCCAATAGTCTAGATAGCACCTAGCTCTGGTTTCAGTAGCATGAGGTTACTACAGTCAAACCCCTATATTTAAGCAGCCACCTATTAAACAGCCACCCCTATTACGCAGCCAGTAATCAAAGTGCCAATGAGGGTTTTTCTATTGTTTTTAAGTGGCAGCCCCCTTTAAGCCGCCGGCCTCTATCCATTCCCCTGTGGGTGGCTGTTTGATAGGTGTTAAATGTACTGTATGTGTGTATTGCTTCTAAACCCCCTCCCCTCCCTCCCTGATGATAATGATGATGATGATGATGATGAAGATGATGATGATGACAAAGAAGACAATAATGACAATGATGCTAGTCCATTACAACATTGCCTTTTGCAGTTAGACATAACTCACTTGAACACAATGATCCCAGCAGGATTGCACTATGCACATTAGATAAGCTTAAGTTATAGTCTATTGGGGAATCCTTGTTTACAATATTTGCCTCATTAACATAAGTAATTCAGTTTCTGATGGAGTTACAAATAAATCAGTTCTGAATATTGAAAGGTCATAGTACAATTAACTCCGCCAAGGAAATATGAGCCTGATGTATTGAATACTTTTTGTGGAACACAGGTTTAAAAAACTCAAAATTTTAGAAAGAATGTATGAGCTCATTAGCACTTTTGCCACCCGGAAATTTTGCAGTTTTTGAAAGACAATTTCTCCTTAAGGTTACACCAAAAGAGAAAAAATTTCACCATGTAATAAGTTTCTCTAGCTCTTTAGCTGCCTGGAGTCAATTCATATCTAGCATGTTTCCTTCTGTACACAAAGCCAAATGCAACTGAGCAAAAATGAGAACATTGACGTCAGCGTGAATCTCCCTATACAATGTACCTTTTAGACTCAACCAATGCTGATGCATCCCTCTTTTTATTATTCATTAACTCAAACTGTTTCCACATTTCATTTTCCTCTTGGATCTTGTAAATAACACATAAAAGCAATTAGTTACTATTACACAGCTTAACAAGTTCGCAATATGTGATGTATATTCTCTTCATTAACAGTTGTAATAATAACAAAGTGGCCTATAAAATCGAGTTGCAACCAAAGCTGTCAACTGTATCAATATCACCAAAGTTGAATCAATCGCCCAATCAGTGCACGCTGATACAACTGATGTTTCAGTTTCGTTGCTCCATATTTTGTAAAAATTGTTGATTGTAACTGTTATGCATACTAAATCGTTAGATCTGTACCTTGTTATGAGCATCAGTGTGTCGAATTACGTTCTTCAACAAACCTTTGTCTATAAACTTCCTTTGGACCGCCATCTTGAATTGGTGTAGGGCCTGGTCACAAAGCCTACGTCACGTAACGCCTGGCTCAACCTTTCTTCTGCGTGACGTTGCTCCTCGTTACATCCAAGTGTCTCTTATATATATTTACCTTTAAAGCAATATTTAACTTCAAGGACCATATTCGGATTCCCAGACCCTATGGCCGACCGCAGTGCTTCCTATGTGTTAATGATGGAGCAAAAACCAGGTGTGATTTTGTCAGCTAAACAAAATGCATCTATGCGTCAACGAAGCAAATGGCTGATTGCATTGGTTGTTTTCTTGGGGATGTTAGCTGTCACCCTGGTCATATTGCAGTTCTGTATCAAAGGATCGAGCTCAATCACGACAAAAGATTCAAATGCGATCTCGCCCTACACGGGCGATTGTACAATCACGTTAGTGGAGAGCATACCCGAAGGTGTTAAGTTTCCTGCTGGGTCCGTTCACAACCCTAGCATTTACAATGGTTGGATGAATCTTTTGAAGTCAGCAGAGGAGCAGATCGACATAGCATCGTTTTACTGGACACTACAAGGAAGTGATACCAATACTTCTGACCCCAGTACACAGGAGGGAGAGAATGTGTTTGAGGAAATACAGGCCGCTGCAAAGAGAGGTACTTTTCGTTGCTGCTTTTCTTTGATTTAATTTATGCGGGTGTATTATTTCACGCCGTTATTAGAGCCGTTTCTATCCTCGGAGACACTTTTACACTAAGTGAGTACCCCTTCTCCAGTAAAAGCTTATGCAGTGATGTGGATTGTATATTTGTGTAAAAAATTTCAACCTTAGCCGTTTACTTCCCAAGAGTGATAAAACTCCTTTTTTCACTACAATGCCAAGACGTTATCAATCAAGCAAGCCTGGATAACGTTATCCACTGGATAAATCACTATCCAGTGGATAAGTGTTTACAAAACAAGGCACACTATCCGCTGTATAGTGATTTACCACTGTATAGTGATTTATCCAGTGGATAGCGTTATCAACCTTTTGAACAAGCCGCGCCAGGTGATGAGAATAAGGGATATTGTCTAAGTACTGTCTAAGTGATATTGTCTAAGTACTGTCTAAGTAATATTGTCTTGATGTACAAACAAATTTCAGTACAACTGGACCGCTCTACAACAACCACCGTTTGGAGGAATTAATTCATTTTAGAAACTGGTGAAAATTTTTTAAGGATCCTATAAGAAACTAGAAGATTTCAAAAGGAGCTAAGTCAAAGATCCTGGGCAAGAATCTTTGAGATATTAAAATTCCTTGCAGGAGTTCAAAGGCCTTGACCAAGATCCTTGTGGATTTTCAAGGATCTTCAATAAGAGTGAAAATCATGGCATTGAAGAAAGATTGATTGTACTATTAACCATTCTACCTTGACGACCTTACCTGAATATTTGCACGTTCAAAGTGTTGCCTGGTAACTTTTAAAGCACCTGCTGACTCATTTTTTATCAAGTATCAATGTGTCATTTTTCACTGTCAATCTTATCACTGATTTAACAAGGTGTCAAAATCCGCATTGTGCAGTCACCTCGAACTGACACATTCCCAAGCTTGGACACAGTTTATCTTTCCCAGAAAGGATTGGCTGATGTGCGCTGTTTGAACATAACACGCTTAGTGGGCAGTGGTATTCTACATACAAAGATGTGGCTTGTTGATAGAAAACATTTTTATGTTGGCAGTGCAAATCAAGACTGGAGAGCACTTACACAGGTGTGCACTAATCTCTGTACAATATTTAATTCATGGTTAACTTGAGACCAGCTATGTATGTATACTGTATGTATACTTTAACTGGCCACTCCCCATTGGGTCTTTTCAGGACCAATGTAAACAAACAATGATAAATGAATATTAAAATAAACACAACTTAGGTTAAGAATCCCAGCTGGCAGGAGGCAGACCAGTTGGCTATTTACAAGCGCAGCCGAGAAGTTGAACTCAGGGCTACCGAGAACAACATCAGCTGGTGGTTAGATCGGAATTTGAATCCGGGACCTACGGATTTCAAATCTGGCGCTCTAACCACTCGGCCACACTGCCTCCTATAACATCAACTGTTTTTCCTTTGAGGGAGGGTATGATCGCAGGTTATTACACGGCCTAACAGTTCTCATTTGGGGTGCTGTATACCTGGTAGGGTACAGACTCCTATATGAAAATGAAAAGGTTCAGGATGCTTGTTGTTTCACTTAGGGGTGTAAATCAAGGATTCTGGTCTCACTTATTGTGTTGATGATGAAACCCCACAATTTTTACCTGTTATTTAAAGTACGTTTTACGGTGCACTTGAAGACATAATAGTAGATATAAAAGACATGCTCTTATTTCTGGTTTTAGTCTCAATTTCTATGGGTCTTTCAAATCTGGTCTACTAGTGTGAGCTCCTTTCCTGAACAACGGCTGGTAATCTACCCTATTCTGTTTTTAATGGTGTCTTCTAGGGGTCAAATAAAGCCTGAATCACGCCCCTATTGGTGTCCTGTAGGGGTTTTATTCAAATTTTCTGATGAGCATCCCCAACCTTTTCATATGGGAGTCTTTCCTGGACATCAGCAAAGATTCCCCTATACTTTTCATAAGATAACTCATCTAAAATGATCCTGAAGAAAATTCATTGTCCCTAAAGTACCATACTGCTAAATTTCCTATCCCAAAATTCCTTCTCACCTCACTATCAATTCATCCTTAAATATCCCCTCTCTCCTCTCCCCTACTGCACATTGCTTACTATGCTGTTATTAACTCTTTCAACTTTAGGTGCAAGAGCTTGGCCTAATGTCCTACAACTGCAGCTGTTTGGCAAATGACATGAGCAAGATATTTGAGGTGTACTGGGACCTAGCAAAGCCAAACTCTCAGATCCCAGATCCCTGGCCTGATAAGTACAAAACAGGCATTAATGCAGGTTAGCTAGTACCAACCAGAGGCGGCAGAACAGTTTGAAACAAGGTGGGGGGGCTCATAGTTAAGCCAAGCGCATACCTTTACCGTCTCGTATTTTCCAAAATGCCTTTAAAATATATTATTGCTTCGTTCCTTTGCACAAACAAACTTCTTTGCATTGTTTACAATGTCTGCTTGGAAGTTGCGTTTGCCACAGGTAATGTCAAATACCAATTTTATGCTGCGTTAGCAATGTTATCAGCACCAAAGCGTGGGGTTCTGAGCCCCCCTTCTCTGCCACCTATGCCAGCTATTATCTAAAATGTTGGTTGATGGCAATAAATACAGGAACTCGTAAAACTCACTAGGAATTTCTCCAGGTAGATCAGCTGGTATGCTGATGCCGACAAAGTGCTTTTGTCATGTGAATAATGTTCTTAGGACACCATCAGGGGTGGATCTAGCAGGAGGGTGCAGGCTGTGTACACACTCTCCCCCCAACCCCCTGAGATGAAGCCTTCTTCTTCGTATTCGCTTTTGAAAAAATTTGTTTACCTCACCAGTCAGTTATGCCATTCCTTAGTGGTGCACTCTCTCCAAAGAAAAATCCTGGTTCCACCATCAGTTGTCGTAGCAACAACACAAATAATGAATTATGTTCAATCTGTACACCACAAAAGGATACTAAATATTTAGCACTCAGCAGTAAAATTTCAGCCTGAAGCTGGCCGTTCTTGTAAGGTTATTACAAAATGAGTTGATGTCCTGAGAATTTTGCTTGTGGCTCTGTGGCTTTTAATATTGGTAAAATTACTTTGCCATTTTGACTGGTCATTAGAAGACAGGCCAGTTATGCAGGCTTTCAAAGGCCATGTTTGTCCATTGCTGGTGATGAGGACCACTGATAACCAGGGCAGGGCAGA